CTCCAAAAAAAACACTCAGTTGTCCCCCTAACATTTTGGAATCCAACGGACGAACTTTTATCGCTGATCAAAGAAGGCGAACCGATGGAAATCTATCGTTTACAGGTAATTCACTGTATTCACTATATGTCCAAATGTCACCAATATTGGGTGAAAAAATAAGTTGAACAATGGTGTTTCGCATTTCTGATCAGCTCAGTTTTTCTGTGATATCCTGGGGAACGTGAATCGTACTGACAGCTGATTTGCGCACGTGACTTCTGGTCTTGATAAATAACGCTGTTATCTCGATGATCAAAAAACCTCACTAAGAGGATGATTCTATTGGGTCATCTGAATGCAAATCTGAGCTCGTTCTCAGCACATTACAATCACATTTATGTAAGAAAATAACGGGTGTTGTGTTGTGTTGGGATCAAATAATTACGGCAAAGGAATGGGGTAAGGATAAGTTTGTCTCTGGTGCTCTTCTGATCAGAACACCAGGCGAAATAAGCGTTGGTAATTGATTTTGGTTGTTACACCGCTTATACGTAACTTGTTGTCTGTCCTCACTGGGTCTGGGAGGTTTGAGTTCCTGAATGAGTGTTATTTTTGTGCATACATTTCTGGCTTCAACAAGCAGATTGGGGTGGTTCTTAAGATAATCGATCCTGCTTTCATCCAACGGTGGTCAGCTTCTGTTTATGGTCATCAAATTTCTCCGGAGTTTGTGTGTTGTAATCGTACCACTGTCGCCTCACTTTCTTTGCTATTCAATTCAAGCATTGCGCGTGTTTGTTCCACTCCCCAATTCTTTCACTTTTCTGCTCTCCCGCTATTGTTTTCATCCAGGTCTCCACCACACGCACCTCAGATCCTTTCGTTCCTCCGAATCCACCACATCATGACGGTTGCATAGAGCCAGGCACGGTATTAAGTCTTTCGGGTAGTCGCAACACCACGATTCGTCCTCTAATCTCCACGGCGAAGCAATCAGAAAATACAGATGCCAGTGATTTAGTCGATGAGAACTTGATTTCACAGGTTTATGAGCCTCGTTGCGCTCTGTCGGTTGCCGATTGCCAACGTCTGTTCGCTGTTTCACCTCAGGGTTTTCGAGCACCTCAACCTGATCCAGGTACGTTGCTCATCGGTTAAATCCAATGTATAGTTACCCTTTCTCTCATCGATTACAATTCACACTTTAGACAAAGCAAAGACGATGGACAGATTCACCGTCACCCTGAACCTATCGGGGCCTTATGCGGTTCACCACTCCAAGTCCTGGGGCCTGGGTTGCCGGTTTCCGTGACTGAACAGCCGGTCCTCTTGACTCTGAGGTTTCCACTGTCTGTCACGCAAATTGTTCTATGTAATAAAAAAATGTTCAGTTGAACAATTCAAAAGCCCTACATCTGGGACAACATTGTCGATCGCTGAGATACATTCAAATCAACAATTCACACAATGGTACATTTATTGATGTTGATCTTATTGGTCAGGTCACAACATCCGTATCACCCAAACCCGCTACTTATTTTTTGAAATCGTTTCCTTTTTTGCAGTCGCCTTAAGTGCGATATTAAGTTTCCTTCTGGCGCTTGATCTAATATTAATCTCAATTGAGGACCTCACGGCGGGTGACCGGGGTGGGAGGGGGGGAATTTGTCGTTTCTGTGTACCATTATTCACATCTGAGGATCATATTTGCAGGAACAATAGACGGTAGCAGTAGTGACGAAAATTGAAGTAGGGTACTAAACGGGCCCCCTTCTTTCACACTTGAAAAATGAACGTTTTGCCCCTGGTAAACAAGAACTCTACCCGATACTTGTTGCTTCAATAGAAGGGGGCGTCAAACCGGACGGAGGGGGGGTCCGTGGCAGACTAACAAGTTAGAAACCACCGTCGAAAATTCGTTAACTGTCTCAGTGGTTGTCTCTTTTTCTTTGATAGCTGCCATATTCATCCGTGTACTGGTTTGCGATCCCTATCTTTGCGCTTTTAACATCCGGTTTCATGCCGAACATAGTGTGATTTGATGAGAGTTTTCGTGACTCACTTAGCTTAATGAGCAACGGCAGAATATGTTGATGTGTTCTGATTCAACATCTTTCTTTTTCTCCACTGTCATCGTTAGGTTTTTTGGAGGTCGATCTTCGTTGCACTGTTGTTGTAGTGCACAGCTCCAATTCCTCCGAGCGGATTATCGCACCATCTTTTGGTCGTGGCGCCGCAGATCCCACTGCGTCAACAAGTAAATTTCAAAACTCCACGGTAGATTCGGTGTACGTGACGGACATAGATGCTGAAACAGAAGGTTGTCTAGCTGTGGTAAAACTTTGGGGTGGTCTCCAGGTGAGTTTTTTTTTCTTTTTTTACCATTCGTATTCCGTCTGTGAGTCGTTTTAAACCAATCCAATTTAATTGTCTTATGCGCTGACTTAGTGTGCCACTAAGTTTATACTTGACTGTTCATTTCTGATGAAGAAAACCGATGGAGTCATGGTCATTGGTTCAAATCAGTTTTGGTCAGAACTCAGGGAACCTTTTCCTTGGTTTAGGTCATTCCACGGATAGATGGATAGATCTAATATAACTCTTGAAGATATACTACAAATCGGTATCCTCATTTCTCAACCTTTTTCTTCGTGGATGTACCTCTAACCCTTGCACAACCAAGTGTTCCCTCTAATAACGGAGCAGGCGCGGTGGTTTTACTAAGTGATTTGTTAGGTTATTGTATGCCACGATGAATTCAGCGGATTTTGTTGCAAACAGGTGGTTTGCCAGCCTATTATTCAGTATCTCTGTTGTCCTTCTTGTATTTGCCGAAAGTATTGATCCCTAATTCACCAAGGTCACTTTTCGTCGACTTTGGTTTTAGTTACCGGATTTCGAGCAACCCAAATGGAAAACAAATATGTCAATGTAAACCCAACAAACCGATACAACTCGATACCGTAACCTACTAGGCNNTGGATTGATAATTCGCATTTAACTCGCAATTGCTTGTGAGCAGTGTTGTGGGATAATTAACATTGAATGATTGATTGATTACTCTCTTGACAGTTGTAAAGCAATGCGAGTGTTTTTTTGAAGTGCTGTGTTCAGTAATGGATGGGCGCTGTA